TAAAAAATAAAAAATAATAAATTAATTAAACAAATTTATAAAAAAAAAAATAAATAATAATATTATGTTTTTAATTATTGATAAATTAAAATTACTGTATTATATGTGTATTAATTATGCATATAAGAAAAAAATTATATAAAAATCAAATTTTAAATGATTTTAATAAAACAATATGTTTTAAAATTTTAATTAAACAATAAATATACAGTGTTTCAAAATTTTTTGAAAAATTTTTTAAATAAAATAAAAATTTAATAAATAAAAATACAATATCTTAAATTATGTAAATATAAAATAAAAGTTTGAATAAATCTTATTTATATTTTTTTGTAATAAATATCAAATTTTAAAAATTAATTTTAGTTTATTAAAGTATTCAAAAATAAATTCATATTATTGAAATTAAGATACAGTATATATTAGATAAAAAATTTAATAAAAACAATTGATATTTTAATTTAAATATTTTAATAAGATAATTTTTATATTGATTTAATAAGAATTTTAAATGAATAAATAATAATGATAATTATTATTATTAAAAATATATATATATTTTTATGATAAAATTTTAATTAAAAAAGATAAACTATCATTTTAATAATTAAAATTTAAAATTTAAAATTTTTTATCAAGTATATTTTTAAATTTTGTATTTAATATTTTAATTTTTTATTAAACAATTATATATAGATAAATCAAATTTTATATCATTATATTAAAAAATATATTATAAATATTATTATATAAAATTTTAATTAATTTAAAATAATTTGTATTGAATAACAATTTTTTTTAATTCTGTGAAATTTTAATTAGAAATTAAAAATCTTTATTGAACCAATTATATTAAAATTATAAATAAAAGAAAAGAAAAGATTTTTTATTTCACGAAATATAATATTAATTGACATACTCATTATAATAATTATAAAGTTAAAATAATTGTTTTAAAACATTTTTTGAAATACTTTATATACTGTATATCGATTTTATTAATTATTAAATTTTATTAATTGTTTAAATTTATTAATTAAAAAATTATAATTTAATCATAAAGACATAGTTAAAAAACGCAAAGTTATATATGATCATTGTTTTATGTTTCCTATTATAATTAACAATAAAAACGGAATTAAAAATAAATTAATTGTCAATTTTTTTAACTATTTTATTTTCATAAAATATATATTTTTATTTTATTACATTATAAAAAAAAATTAATTGAAAATTGGTTAATTCATATATTAAAAATTTAAATGATAAAGTTATAATTTTTTGAAAAAATTTATAATATATTGTATATTCAATACACGCATATTATTTTAAAGACTTTTTAAATCAATATTTTTTATAATACGCAAGTGATCAATTATTTAACTAAAGTTTTTTTGAAAAGTAAAATTCGAATCCCTTCTGGATTTGTAATATAGGGGCCACGATATTCGTCAAAGGACACCGAAATTGCGGTAGGTAATGAAGTTTTGTCTTGCTTGCTTAAAAAAAAGCCAACCTCTCTTCCCATTGCTCCAATTACGAGACTAGCAGAGATCCATAAATTTACTTTAAGCATAATACATGTTTTCTTGGCTAATTTTAGAGTTTATTAAAGAATTTAAACTTTTAAATATACTGTTTTAAATTATGGTTTCCTTATTTTAGTTTGATATCTTGTTTCCCATCTTCAATAACTATTTTAATAAAGATAAAAGTTTTTTAATATATTTTGTATATAAGTGAAAATTTAGATTTAAGTTAATACCATTAATTAAAACCAACTTATAAAGCAAGGTTTTTTAATTAAAAAAATTTCCCTTGTTTAAAGATTAACTCTGCGATATTATAAATGCAGTAAAATTTTTAACTACCGTAAAAATGAGCTTGTATCTTTGTTTCGGTTATATTCCATAAGCCGAATAATCTTCAAAATTGAATGAAAGTAATTTAATAAGCAATTAGTTGCGATTGCAAAATTCATTTCGAAAATACCTGGAAAATCCGAATTATCCAAGTCAAATAAATCCGAGTCTGTAACGAGTATTTAAATTAAGAATTTTTAATGAAATTTAGAAGGCAATAAACGTTATATTATCTACATTATATTTACCTGCATTGTCATCCGATAACATTTCAAGTACTTTCTCGTGATTAGGGGCATTAGTTGGTTGTGATAGGTTTGAAAAATTCAAAAGTCTGCTAGTATAAAAAGCATTCGGGTGCGTCTTATAATTAAGCCCCGAAGAGAAGTTGTTTTTTTTCGAAACTTCACTTTCGTAATCTTTAACTTGTTCCTTAAAATTCGAAAGCTCATCACTTTCGATCAATTTAATCCAATCGTTTATGGTTGCTAGTATTTTATCAGCAACGGGTCGATAAGACGGCCTCGCATCCCAACATTGCATTATTAATCTAACTAAAAATTTTGGAATCTTGAATGGAATTTTTGGACGTAAGCCTTGACAGATTTTTACAGCAAGAACTTGATCGTGAGGAATATTATAGTATGGAGGAAATCCTGTGATCATTTCATATGCTACGATTCCAAATGAATAAATATCTGCTGCCGGTGTGTAATCATGATTACACAAGACTTCGGGTGCAATGTATGGAAGAACTCCATAAATTTCTTGACGTGTTGAGTTTACATTAAGAAATTTACAAAGACCTAGATCCACGATATTCAAATTTAAATTCAAACCATATAAAAGATTTCCTGGATGAAAGTCTCTATGAACTAATTTCTCGAAGTGCATATAATGCAGACTTAATGAAATATCTCTTAATGACTTTAGTTTTAATTCTAAATCCATCTTGTAAAAATTTTCGTCCAAGTAATTCCTGAGACTGCCATTTTTTTGAAATTCAAAAACTATCATATAGCATAATGACCCTGGCTGTTGCGTAACTCCACAACACCCAACAAACCCATTATACCATATAATGGAATGTTTTTCAATCTAAAATTTAAGATAAATTATATTAATAATAATAATAAACTATAGTTAACGAGATTGAATATTTTTTACCTCATTTATAAGAACGTCAATTGAGCTAAGCTTATCTAAGCTTTTTAATGCTACTTTCCCAGGATAACGATGATTTCTAATCCATTTCTTATTGCGAACATCCCATCTTTCAATTTTACCATCTTCCCATGTCGCAGAATACACGGTTCCATATCCTCCTTTAGCGATATATTTGACATCTTGAAATTGTGTATACGGTATCCATTCTAATGCGTTAAAATGATCTTCAGCTTGAAGCTGAGTCTTTTGTATAAATTCGTCAATTTTTTTATCTCCACTTGTCCATTTATCAAATTCTTGTCGAAAGTGTATTCCACTGCATGACATACACCATAGATGTCCTGTAAAGGTTTTATTACATTCAGAACAAAACAACATATTTGATCTCTTTAAACTTGAATTTTCCTACCACTAAAAATACTTTTATGCGTTTCAAATCGTTACACGGACAAAATACAGTATAATTGTGCGTAAATTATTTACTGTAAATAGTATTATGAAAAATAAATGCATAATATATTATGTTTTTTAGATTATAATATTTTTAATCATATGGTTAATTAATTAAATTAAATTAATATATATATATAGTATATAAAATATATTTTAACAAGAACCCCGGATTCTAACGGTTCCCGTTTCTAGTTTACTCGAATTTATTTTTTGAATAAAAAATGATTTCAGAATAAAAAAGTACTTTATCAAAAAACTTTTATTTAAAATATTGATTAGCGTATCAAAATACCTCTATAATAATATTTCTTGACCTATTTTTGTATATCTTTAATACATGTTTAATTATCGTGAATTTATCTTTTAACGTATTGTATTGTTTGATAATATACGATGTTTTTAATAATAATTTTTTTTTAACACCCAATATAATAAATACTGTATATAATACAATATATAGTTAAGATAAAAATATATTTTTTGATATCATGATAGGTTTGGTATAATACAAGAATATGGATTATAAGATTCTTATTTTATAAAAATACGAATTAACAAATTTTTATTTAATACATGGATATTTAAGATTTACAAACAATACGCCAAGATACCGCATTGGTAACATGTAATACGTAGTGGCTTTAATACCATAAAAAATATATGATTAGATGGATAAAAGATACAGTGGTGTTCACGAGAAATGACAATCATAAATTTAATTATAATTTTATAATTATTGATTTAAATTATATAAAATTCTATATATAAACTGATTAGAAAATAAAATAAAAATTTATTTTTTTATATATTTATAAATATCACAAATATTTTTTATAAAATTATTTTATCATCTGATTTAATAAAATTATTGATAATTAATTTTTTACAAAAATATTTTTATCATATATTTTTCAATTTGGATTTTTTGAAATTTTTTGAAATTTTAAATAAAAAAATAAACATCATTATTATTAATATTATTTAATAAGTAAATAAATATTTTATTATTGTTATACTTTAAAAATATATTTATAAATAAGGTTATAAAGTTTTAATATTATTTAAATAATTTTAATATTCATTAATTTATGAAAATTCTTTAAAAAAAAATTTTTTTTTTTTGGCATTTTTCATGATCACCACTATATATATTATACAGCAATAAGTATATAATTTACCTTTAAATATTGTATTTTCGCCAAATAAATTATCTATTTAAAAAAAATTGACTAGTTTTAATATAAAAAATGGTTTGCTCAAATTTAACCTTTTGATATACGGTATCTTTTTCCTCGTTGATACTAATTATTAAGTATATTAGTCTCTTAGAAAATATAATCAAGATGGTAATATGTATGCAGACATTAAATATAATATTATGATACTAAATGCATATTTGCTATATTTATTAGGATTGTATTTTTATTGATCCCAGTCTGGTTCAATTCTTAAAGTGAATTAAACTGACCTGGACCTTTAACATTACTATTACCACTGTATTCTCTCTCCCTTATAATTTTAGTCATGGTTCTCCTCAAATACCTCGCATCTCCCATCTTGATGATATCTTAATTTGACATAATCGACGATCTAATTTACACAAGTTACTGTAAGTACTATGGATGACAATGATAATGCGATAAATATTATTAAGGGCGAAAAAATAAAAAAATTCCTTACCAAACCGTTTACCGGATTCCCTGAATAATCGTATATGTTACACACTACGGCATACCAAAAGTATTTTCCATCAACGGTACGTTCTTCAGGTACGACAATTTCGTGCGGGCAGTACTCGACCCAGTTTCCTTTTGATTGAATGTCAATCTTCGAATCATAACGCATTGTGAACAACCCTGTTTCGGCGACTACTCTGTAATCCTATTTTCGTTCAAACAAAAAGGTATATAAGTTTCACTCATCAATATTGAATTATTGTCACGTAAATATTCAATCATAATTATTGGAAAAGTAGAAATATACACTAGCCGTAACTTGCACCATAAAATTCAAACTTTTTAAACTAAAATCTCTTTCGAGTTTGACTCTCCAGATAACATCATACGTTCCAGGCTGAACGAATTTATGCGTTGCCGTTACCTGTTAATATGAAACAAATAAAATGATAAGTAATCAACGTTTGCCGTAACATTGTAACAAGTAAATTGTATGTGTATCGGAAACGGAATCATGGATGATCGCTTACTTTGAAAACATTTACATCATAAAGATCAAGTCTAATAACTTTTCCATATGCACTATTATAACCATAAGAAATTAGATTTTACATGAACTCCATGTCGTAGCAAAATAAAACCGTACCTTCTTCTAGTTATTATTTCCCAAAGTGTTTGGCCACGAACAGATGGTCCATTAAGACTAACCCATCTAACGCCTCTATCTTTTGCAATGTAAATAATTGGGTTCGCTAAGTTTAATTATAAATAATAACAATAAGAAAACTAATGTCTAATTCGGCATTACCAAAATTCATAAGGAAATAATAATCACACAAATATTTATATAAAATTGCCCATTCCATTTCACTTTTTTCTGTTACCGAATGAACATCTGTACTCGATTCCACTTCCTGTCCGGTACATAAAGAACTCAAGGATGCATCTAGATACAGTATAATTATTATAAAGGGGTTTTTTTATTTTTAGATATTAACGTATATTGAAATAAAAACATTACATTAAACTATTCAAAAATTTTCAACAGTACTAATATCCTTACCCGTTTTAGGCTCTGGAACTGTTGTGAATAACTGCTTCAAGACTCTATCCTCATCCAGATCCTTTTGTGCTTCTAAAATTATGGCTGAAGGATATTGATTTTTACACATTAATTTCCAGACATAGTCATCGTGAAAAAATTTATAAAATTTTTGATTTGACTATTTGTACAAGAAATACAAAAAATTGTGAGAAAAGCGTATATATAATGAGAACCAATATAAAATAGCAATCATTACCAAAGAGATAGAGCAAATATCCTCCGGTTTGGTATTTCCAAGAATTTCGGCAGTAATCTCGTTAGGGAGGCTTAAAAGATAACTTTTAGAATTCGACATTCTATTCAGAATCGAGATTATTGAAATTCTGGACGGAACTTTTGTGTGATTAATAATCATATTATTTTGTAACGGATTATCACATGCAAAAAACGTCATTAAAGCGTAATAAAAAGCGCTAGAATAAAAAATCCCAAGAAATTTTTTATTTTACGTAACTCTATAATTATCACGGCAATTTAGATTAAAGTACTTACAATAGTAACTTAATTTAAAACAAAACTCCTAACATGAATTCAGTAATAAAATTCAAAATAGAAATTAGGGTCGCGCTATGCGATCACTGCGCGGGAGGTAATGACGCGTCCAAGATAAATAAATGGATTGGATCTAGTATAAAAAACAAGATTCGAAATGCTGAGGAACCGCAGCAAGGATTATAGTTAAGAGCAGTTGAAGTTTATTGATGAGGGTAAACTTTTCAAGTCAAATATACGACTCAAATATTGAGTTAAACCTCAAACAATGAGATAATATGTCTGGAAATTGCGTTACATATGCGACACGTAAAGTGTATGGGTAAATAATTTCATTTTTTGTTGCCTTGAAATATATTTTACCTTTTAAATATCAAATATATGTTAATTGTTTTAAAATTTTAAAATTATAGATATCTTCACTTGTTTTGGGTTCTTAATAAAAGCAATGATTGCTCCAAAAATTCAAACTACAATATATACTTGTGAAATATCAATATGACACACTAGTTACTAGACATATTATTAATTTCCTATTTAAACAATAAATAAATAAACATTGATGGATAAATTGAGTTTTTTGGTTTAATATGGTAAATACAGTAACTTCAACAGCAACTCCCAAGAAATAATTTGGGAATTTAATAAAAATATTATTTTATTTATTTCTAATAACAATGAAATTATGAGTATTGAATGTATCTTGAAATTACAAAAAAGAGTTATTGTCATGTTATTTTACTTTTTTAATATATTGATATCAGAGTGATAGCTTTTTCAAATACAAGTTGCTTGGGTTGTCAAGTGAACATGGATTTTAATTTGTTGGCATATAAAATAGTTTGGCATAAAGTGAGCAACTTGATAAATGATAATGTTAACCTTGAAAAATTATAATTTAAATTCAAAATAATATGTACTGTGTATACTATATGTACTGTATTTTAATTTGACAGCTTTTAAATAACTACTTGAAAATATAATATTAACCAAATAATTATTGAATTCTTTTTATAATAATAAGATTAACATACAATGTTATACTTTTTAGACATTTTAAAAGTTACATATTTTTCACAAAAAGAAGAATCAAATGAAACATGCTTTTTTACATTCTGAATAATTTAACCGCTATTATTCTCTCAGCATAATTCTTCCCATTATAACCCTCTTCTTTATAATTCACCTCAAATAATTTTCATCCTTATTATGATTCTACTCAAAGACTTGGTGCTCCCTCCCATCTTGATGGCTCCTTAATTTGACATAATCTATGCACTATTATACACAAGTTTCTTAAATACTAGAAATAATAATAGTAATGCGTAAAGTTTATGAAATAACAAAAACTCCTTACCAATCCGTTTACCGGGTTCCTAGGATAAGCGTATATATTACATACAACGTCATACCAAATAGGTTTTCCATCAACGAGCCTTTCTTCAGGCACGACAATTTCTTGTGAGATGAATCTGATCCAGCCTCCTTTTGATTGAATGCCTAGACTCATAACTTGTATTACCGCGGACTTTTTTTCTTGAACGACCGTTTCAGGAGTATCTACTTTGTAACTCTATTTCGTTAATATAACATCCTTCATCAATATTGAATCGTTGTTAAATATATGATACACGCTTGTTTGATTTTAATGAGAAAATGGAAACCTACATTAGCCAGAACATATGCCCTAAAATTTAACATCTCCAAACTAGAATATCCATAAACCCTGAATCTCCAAATGATATCATACGTTCCAGGCCGAACGCATCTAAGCGTTGCTTTAACCTATTTGCACGAATTAAACAAAACAGTAAGCAACTGACATATATCCTAACATTGCAACGAGTAAATTGTAAGTGGAATGAAACGGAATTATATGCGACTGCTTACTACAAAAAATCGCAAATGATAGAAGCAAACGATTTTCCCATATGCACTAATATAAACGTAAGAGATTAGAGTTATGCATAAACGGTCTGTAGCAAAATAAAACCGCACCTTTCTCCGGTTTTTATTTCCCAAGGTTCTATAATACGAAAAAATGAATTGTGGGATAACCTGGGCCAAATAATATTTCTCTCTTTTGCAATATAACAGATTGGATTTGCTAAGTTTAATTATCATTCTTTATCAATAACAAGAAATCATTCTATGTTAACATAATTTACAAGGAAATGATAGTCACATAGATATTTATATAAAATCGCCCATTCCATTTCATCATTTGAGGTTACTGACGGAACATTGGTACTTGACTCTGCTTCCTGTCTGGTGCAAGGTGTGGCTAAATATTATTTTTAGATATTAACGTATATTAGATTGATACCGTAATTACACTTAAACTATTCTAAAATTTCCAATAATTCTAGGATTTTTCACCTGTTATAGGCTCTGGAACAGTTGTAAATAGCTGCTTTAAAACTCTATCTTTATCCAGATCCTTTTGTGCTTCTAAAATTCTACTTTCGGGGTATTGATTTTTGCACATTAATTTCCAGACATAGTCGTCCTGAAAAAGGTTATAAAAATTTCTACTCGCCTATTTATCCAAGTACGTGATATAAAAAAATATGAGAAAAAACGTTATATATTAAAGAAGACCAATAAAAAATCAATATCATCACCAAAGAGAGAGAACAAATATCTTCCGGTTTAGTATATCCAAGAATTTCGGCAGCAATCTCATTAGGAAGGATTAAAGTATAATTTAAGCCTTTAGAATTCGACATCCTATCATAATCGAATAGACAATATAGGTTGGTAACAAATTATATGCAATAATAAATATACTAAAGAAATTTTTTATTTGGTTTGTCGAAAATTAAGAATAAAATGCTTAGGATAATAATACTACGACCTTTGGTTAAAAGAGTGATAAAAATAGAAATTTGACTTTATTTATAGGGAAACTATTAGGGCAAATAGGCGTAACGCGGTAACGCGTTACACGATCACTGCGCGCCTCAAAGCTAAGCATAACGGAAAAATAGGAAGTATGATGCATCCGAACTTTACCGTGACACTTTAGAATAGCAGCTTGAAACAGCAGATCTAAAACACGAATTTATTGCTTAACTTGTAAATACACTTGTAATCTTTAGCAGCGCGACTAACAAAATATTGTAAGTGTGGGAGTAAGTCAAGATCAGAGACGGCGACAACTAATAATAATAATAATAATAATAAAATTGGTCTTATTCCTTTATATTATTTTCGATATTATGGTGTGTGGATTTTTTTTTTTTTGTTATTATTATGGGTATATGCGGCAACACGATATCACGTTACGTCACCATGTCGCGAACTGTGGGAAATTGTGGTGAGAAAATTAGGTGGGAAATACTGTAGGTGGTAATTTCTAAATAATAGGCGTATGTATAAATATATGTGCAGTTCGATAGCATGTAAGAGGCTCGAACCTTTCCACATCTCGATTATAATAAAAACAAATCTTTCTAAAAGATAACTCTTACCTGATGCTTCCTTTTTACCCGTTACCTGAACGATATTAACTTGCTCGCATAACTATACAAACTAAAATTTGACTAAAAGAGTGGGAAAATTCAAGCAACTAGCAGAGTTCAGTTATAGATCAAGAGGTGTTAAAGTTAGTAAGCAAAAGAAGAACCGGCCAGAGAGTGATACGCCTCAAGAGTTTGAATAAACAACACTTACCTCATCTAACGTTACACGGAGACGTTGCATTAGCGACAGACTCGCCAGAGCCAACAACAATATAAATAGTTAAAGGATAAAATATATACTGTATGTATATGTTATTTATAATTACGAAATAAAGATTATTAAAATAACACCTATCAGAATTAATACTCAAAATTTCTTATACATTTGTTAATCGTATTATAACTCTATCATATTTTTCAAACAAATTACCAATTAAATGTTACAATTGTGAATTTTATTAAATGAAAAATTCGATTAATTCAATAATGATAACATATTGTCAAATGATTTAACCAAAGCCATCGTTTGAAAGTTTCATTTGTATTTAATTAAATAATTTTTTTTTAAAAAAAAAAATTAATAAATTCGAATTTAATAAATATAATGTATTTTTTTTTATTTAAAACGAATTTTTAAATTTTTTAAATTTTTTAAAAATCATTGACATAATTTAATTGTTTTATATACTATTGCAAAAGACATAAAAGATAATGATTCTTCTAACAATGCAATGTAATCTAAGTAAAGATAATTGAATATATAGAAATACCCAATCTAACAAACTTTGATAATAATAAAAAAAGGCGGAAATATTTTTTAAAAATCATATTAACTAAAAAAACCCTTTATACAATAAAACATGCATTTGCATTTTTTTTAAAAAATAATATTCTTAGATTGAAATCTTTTAATAAATTTTATATGTATATCAGTTAATTCTTTAAAGAAAAAAAATCACTACAGTATACTTATCGATATGACATTTACGATATATGGTTGAATATGAGAATACACAATCAATTTTAATATGTACATTAAATTTTAACGTTTAAAATTTCATAATTCCAAATAAGAATCAGAATCTTCATTTTCCTGAGTAGCTTGCTCGTTCTCCTCACCACGATTTTCCTCTACGATTTCGTATTCCCTCCCATCTTTATGGTGCAATAATTTGACGTAATCGATGTGCTATTGTACACAAGTTGTTAATTACTTAAAATAATAGGAATTGCCAAAAAATTTGTTTAGGATAAAACAACAGAAAAATTACTTACCAAACCGCATTTCTGAGATCCATTATGATTGTATATTTTACATCTAACGTCGTACCAAACGTTTTCTCCATCAACAATTCTTTCTTTAGGTACATCAATTTGGTATGGTAAGCAATACTCGGCCCAGGTTCCTTTTGATTTAATGTCTCTAAATACATTAGAACCTGATACGTGGTTTTTTTCTTGAACAACCTTTTCAGGAGTATCTAATTCCTCGTAGCTCTATTTCCATTGACATAAAGTGATATAAATTTCTTTCGTCAATATTGAATTGAATTTACATTAAATGTACGAATCATAATTATTTAATTCCAATTGGTGCAATAGGGACTTACATTGGCTAGAACTTGCGTTTTGAAATTTAACCCATTTAAGCCAAAGCTTCTTCCATCAACCTTGAATCTCCAGATAACATCATACGTTCCAGGTTGAACGCATTTCAGCGTCGCTACTACCTGTTAATACGAACAGTTAAATGGTAATCCAAACATTGTAATAGGTAAATTGTAAGTGTAAAAGAAATGGAATCATATGCGATCACCTACATCAAACCACCACACATAATTGAGGTGAACTATTTTTCCATATGCACTATTGCAACCGTAAGAGGTTAAAATACTATGCATTGATGACCATACTATAATAACGAAATAAACTATACCTTTCTCCATCTTCTGTTTCCCAATGATTTTGACCACGAAATGGTCCATCGTGACAATCCAACCAAGTAACACCTTTCTCTTTTGCAATAAAACTGATTGGATTTGCTAAATTTAATTAACATTTTCTTAAGAAACTTGATGCCTAATTTTATATTAAAATAATTTAAAAGAAAATAATAATTACATAGATATTTATACAAATTCATCCATTCCATTTCATTATTTTCTGTTGGCGGAGAAACGTCTGTACTTGGCTCTGCGTCCTGTTCGGTACGCGGGTATAACGATCCTAAAGATGCAACTAGATATAATTATTATAAAGTAGAATTTTATTTTAGAAAATAATACATAATTTGAACTTGACTGAACATTGTATCTTACTTAAAAAGTGTTTGAGATTTTCAAAAATGCTGATGTTTTCACCTGTTTTAGATTCCGGAATAGAGGTAGTAGATAATTGCTTCAAAGTTTCATTTTCATCTAGATCCTTTTGTGCATCTGTGATCCTACTTTCGGGGTATTGAATTTTACACATTAGTTGCCAGACATAGTCATCCTGCAAAAGTTTATGAAATTTTCTATTCGCCTATTTATTGAACAAGCAACGTAAAAATTATGAGAAAAAAAGTTAACCTATTTAAAACTAGTAGAAATCAAAAAGTTCATTACCAAAGAGATAGAATTAATATCCTTCAAATCAGTATGCCCAAGAATTTCCATGGTAATCTCATTAGGGAGGCTTAAAAGAAATCTTGATGCACTGGAACTCGACATTTTCTACAGAATAGAAATAGAGACGTAGGATTGTCGACTAAAGTTTATATGCTGTATATGCAATAATGTATAAATAAGGTTAATTGATCAGCGTTACGTATAAATGATTGTATGTATAAAAAATCACATGAAATTATTAATTAGAAATTATAAAAAAAAAAAAATTGATTCAAGCATGAATTTAGCAATACCCTAGATTAAAGAGAGTGATATATAATATTTTTTTAAAAAAAAAAAACAAAAAGTACAGTGGTGGACAAAAATACTTGCACTATATATATATTTATTTATATATTATAATATTTTGATAACTAATTGATAAAATAAGCTAAAAATCTATATTAATATATTTAAGAATATAAAAAACAAATTTACTTAATAAGGTTTTTAAAATATATTATTAAAATTTTCTTAAAATTTAATTTAAAAAAATTTTTTTAAAAAAAATAATTGATTTTAGTTATATTACAAAATAGAAATAATAAAAATTATTAAAATTATTTTAATGCATATATTTGTTAAATAAAAGTCATAATAATAATAATATAATTTTTATTATTTTTTTTATTAAGTATAAAAAATTATTTAATAATTAATTTAACTTAAAATTTAATCAAATTTTATTAAAAACATAAATTTTATATTAAATATAGAGTTTTTAAAAATTTTAGATATTTTTTAAAAATAATTTTATATAATAAAAAAAATCACTCAATTTTAATAACATTTATTATATATAATAATAAGTTTTTTATAATTTTTTTATAAGCTTAAAAGTTTTATTTACTTTTATATTTAATTTTTTTAAAAATTTTTCTTTAGTAAAATTTTAATTTCCATCTATATTTTACATATAAATATAAATATATAATTTATAATACATTTTTTGAATAAATTTTTTTGAATAAATTTATTAATTAAGTTACAATATATATATATTTAAAGTTTTATCTCAATTAAATTATTATTTATTAAATTATAATAAAAAATATCAGGGCAATTATTTTTGTTTTGCACTGTAAATAAATAAATATTTAATATATAGTATAATATAAATTAAAGAATTTATAGAATTATAATAATTAAAAAAAAAAAAAACTCTTTCCCGTAAAACCATCAGTTCTTAAAAATTGCCTTTTTTGGTAATTTTAAGAACATTTCTTTACAA